GGAATTCTAATCTTGAGTTCATAAATCATGCAAATCCAGTATCACCAGGATTAGAAGTAACACTCTAGAAGGTGATATTCATTGTGAGTTATAATGATTACTGGTTGTGCTTCTAAAAATTGATGTCTCTTCTGATAGCATATGACCAAATAATTTAGTGAGCCCTAGTAGATTCACACTTCAGTATGAAGTGGCTTATCATCAAGTAGCTGGTTATGAGTGGGAAAATGGGTTTCTATGTAATTTGTCTTGGTTGCTAGGAAGAAACAGATATTTGTCACTGCTCTCTGCTTTTGGAAGAAGTCATTGACACATTTTGACAGAACTGGAAACTACTCTTACCAGACTAAATTGCTTATGTCAACAATCATAGCTAAACATTACACATGTTTAACATGAATGTAGTCTTATAATCTTTTCTGTTGGTCTTAAGGCAAATACTTATCAGGTTGTGGGACAAAATATCATGAAAGACAAACAAAACAACAAAATACTAGGGAACTATCCTAGATTAAAGCAGATTAGAGAATTAACTGTAATACGTGATCCTTAAAACCTGCAGCAGTGGAAAACATTACTGGGGCAATTGGAGAGATTTGAATACAGATTATGTATTAGTTAATACAATTTTTCTTGAGTACTCCTCAAGAAGCAAATTTCTTGAGTATGCTAATAGGATTGTGATTATGCTAGAGAATGTTCTTGTTCTTAGAAGATGCCTGCTGAAATATTCCATTATGAAGAGTCATGATATTTGCAAATTTCAGATGGCTCAAAAAAAAATAGAGAGGGATAAAGCAAAATTTTCACAATTAGTGAATCTAGAGGAAAGCTATGCAGGAGTCTATCATAGCGCTTTTTAACATTTATGGATTGACATATCAAAAGATATAGCTAACAGAACCCCAAAACTCAATAACCAAGTGTCCAGATACCCTAACATGCCCATGGTGGATATAGGGATTAGATCTTGCACATGTTAAGAATTCAGTAAATGTGGATGTCAGAAATGGAGGTGAATGGAGTTCTGATTTGGTTAGATTTGATGCTGTGCATTGGATGAGTGACTGAGGAAGATCACAAGAAACTTCTCCATGTAGTTACTTAATTAATAAGTATTTGTTAAATAAGTAAAGTAACAAATGAATAAAATTCACTGCCAAGGAAGGTAAGAGAAAAGCTCGGAGCAATTATCCCAGACTTCTAGGTGAGATGCTATGCTTTAAGATACCCAATGTTGAGGGCCATTTTTGTTTTACAGCTCTGCCTTCTTCACTTGTAAGCATGCTTATTACCCAGGGATTGGTCCACCAAGGTAAGAGTCACTATTTGTAAATAGTTTAACTTCAGAGAGCCCAGGTTCTATGACCCTCCTGGCAGCTTCTTAGCACCGACGACCTTTTATGTTGAGGGAAGAATTTACTTATGCATATCTTTGCCTATTTTTAGCCCAAGTCCCTGCCTCCTGGAAGAGGTCTTAATCCCCAGTTGAGTGAATGTATTATGTTACTTGACAAAGGGAAATTAAAGTTGCAGATGGAACTAAAGTGTTAATCAGCTAACCCTAAAATCGGGAGATTATCCTGGATGGTTCCAGGGTGCCCAGTATACCCATTACACTACTTAAAAGTGAAGAAGGGCATCAGAAGATAGAACCAGAGATGGCAGTGTGAGGACTTGACTCAACATTCTGACTTTGAAGATTCAGGAAAGGGCCATAAGCTAAGCAATGTGGGGGATCTCTAGGATATAGAAAGGCCAGACCCCTAGAATCTCCTAAAATTAAAGCAACCCATTGAAGGAATATGGTTACAACCTTAGTTTTAACTCAGTGAGACTGATTTTGGATTTCTAACTGTAAGAACTATATGATAATAAATCTGTGTTGTTTTTAAGCCATTGACTTTGTAGTAATTTGTTATAGCAGCCACAAGAAACTAATACAGTGCCTTTCCTGTACCAAAAATCCTGTGTCAGGGACTGTGTCTGTGTTTAAATAGATTGCTCACTGCACAAGGCTGCTCCAGTGAAGAGATGAGTGGGCTGAAATCCACCCCCATGCTCTGTTCATCAAGCCATTGTCCTGGCAAGAGGCTGCATCCCCTGAGGAAGGGCACCCTGTCTAATTCACACAAAAGACCATGAGGATGGGAAGCTACCTTGCATGTCTACTACAGACTTGTGCTAGCCTATTTTCCTCTCTGTTCCTCCTTCCTTGTTCTCTTCTTTGTCTCCACCTAACGAGAGAACCCATAGACAATGCTTAGTGCCAGGTAACAAAAGCCACCCATTGTCCTTGCTGTCACTGATATCATTTTATAAGAAATATGTCTGCCCAGTAAAGACAAGGGAAGCTATCCTAGTTCTTCTTTGGGTCTCAGAGACCACACATGTCATATATCTAGGGGAACTCTAATATTATTATTGTCTATTTAATACTACTATTGTCTGTAATGATCATATATTAAATATGATGTCATCTTTATAACTTGAAGATAGTCTTTTTTTGTACCGAGAATCAAACTCAGGACCTTGTAGTTGCCAGGCAGGCACAGCACCACTAAGCTAAATCCTCGGCCCAAAGATAATCTTTTTGTAGAAATATATTCATCAATCAGCAAAAAGCTTTTGTCAGACTGTTTTTGATATAGAAAAACAGTATGGCCAGGACATAATATAGAGTTTGTCTTGTGATTATTAAGCTATTCAAATATGACATCTTTTGCAACTGTGCAAAAGTTTTTCAAGAATATGTTAGCTTTCTATGAGTGCTGTAACAAATTACTGCAAACACAATAGCCTAAGACAACACATATTTATTATCTTACAGTTCAGGAGGAAGTGTTTCTTCTGGAAGTTTTAGGATTTCTTTCCTTTTCCAGCTTGTAGAGGTCACCCTTATTCCTTGGCTAGTGCCCCTTCCTATGTCTTCAAAACAGCTACATTGAGCCAAGTTTTTCTCACATTGCCATCTTTCTTTTCTCTCCAATTCCTTCTTCTATATTCAAGGATTGTTTTGATTATGTTGATTCCACCTGGATCATTCAGAACCGTTTCCCTATTTTGAAGTTATCTGGGGCCGGGGATGTAGCTCAGTGGCACCACACCCCCCTAGCCAGGACAAGATCCTGAGTTTGATCCCCTGGGGAAAAAAAAAAAAGATAAAACCAAGAGTAAAATTATCTGATTAGCAACCTTAGTTCCATTTTCTGCCTTAATTCCCTTTATGTAGTGCAACATATTCTCAGTTTCTAAAGATTATGGTATAGACATCATTAGAGGGCTGTTATTCTGTCTACCACAGGTTAAAATGTTTTCATTTAAAGATTGTGATGAGCCAGTTGTGGTGGCATATGCCTGCAATTCCAACATTCTGAAAGGCTGAAGCAAGAAGATTGCTAATTCAAGTCCTGCCCAGGCAACTTAACAAGAACCTGTCTCAAAATTAAAACAAACAAACAAATAAATAAAAAGGTCTGGGGATGTAGCTCAGTGTGAAAGTCTGGGGTTCAATCCCTAATACTAGACACACAAAAATAATACACACACACACACACATACACATATACTGTGAATCTCTAAATTGAAGCTTCCTATAGATTTTAAAAGAAGAGAAGATATTTAGTTCAGTGGTTTCGCCGCCAGCTGCACAAGCACAAGTGCAAGGACCTGGGTTCAATCCCCGGTACCAAAAAAAAAAAGAAAAAAGAGAAGAGGGTGATGACTGATTTCCTTTCATTCCATTTAACTCAGTCTTTAATGATCTGTTTCATTTGAGAGTTAAATTCAACCAAATCGAATGATAACTCTTCTAAGATCTAAGATCATTTCTTTAGATTAAGAAAATTTGTACATTTAAGAAATTTTAAGGGCTGGGGATTTAGCACAGTGTTTCCAGTGCCTGCCTCTCAAGCACAAGGTCCCGAATTCGATCCCCAGTACCAAAAAAACAAACAAACAAAAAAAGAAATTTTATATTTTAGCCAGGCATGGTGGTGTACACCTATAATCCCACTACTTGAGAGGCTGAGACAGGAAGATCACAATGAGTTTGAGGCCAACCTGGGCTACATAGTGAGTTCAAGGCCAGCCTGAACTACATAGCAAGACCTTGTCCCCCCTCCCCCAAAAAAACAAAAAAAAAAGAAAGGGAAAAACAAATTTAATATCTTAAATTTTGAACTTTTCTTTATAAATTTAAATAAGTTACTTATAAATTGTAATAAATAATAATGTATTTGTATGTTACTCCTTAGGTTATTTAGCAGCTAATCCAAGATTTGGATCATTGCCTAAAGTTGCACGTAAGTCATAGAAGTAAAAAAAAAAAAAGCAGATTCACTTTGATAAGCAAAGATGCTTATAACAACTGTAGAAGTGAATGCCCAGCTTAACAAAGTTGCCTGTATTGACTCTGAAATATCAGTCTCTGGTTTCTACCACTTTCTGTGTCCTAGTTCATTCAGCACTTACTGACATACAGCTTAGCAGGAGGCACCTCTCTTTAGAAGTCTTCTTTAAAGCATGGACGAAGAGGGATAAGCAGGATATACTGTACAGTTGTTCCTCAGTATCCTGGGGGATTGGTTCCAGGGACCCTGAGAACACCAAAATCCACAGATTCTCCAGTCCCTAAAAAAATAGCATAATAATTGCCTATTACCTGTGCATTTCCTCTCTATACTTTAACTCATCTCTAGATTACTTATCCCTAATACAATGTAAATACTGTGTAAATGGTTATTATAGTGAATGACTTAGAGAATAATGAAAGAAAAAACATTTGTGTGTGTTCAGTACAGACTCAAATTTCTTCATTATTTCCGAACTGCAGTTGGTTGCATCTGTGGGATGTGGAGTCAGTCCATAAATATGAAAGGCCCACTGAAACAAAATCAACTGCAGAGCATCAGAGTGATTGATCTGTTAGGATTTTTCATTTTCTTCTTCTGGGCTAGCCAATCTTCAGAGCATTACCTATGATGGACATAAAAAAGTAATTTCTTTTAAAAAAATCAAGGACAGGGCCGGGGACTAAGCTCAGTGGTTCCACTGCCTGCTCCGCCAGCACAAGGACCCGAGTTTGATCCCTGGTACCAAAAATAAATAAATAAATAAGTCAAGGACTTTCTAGTAGTAACAAATTTACCATAAACTTGGGGTTTCATTTTCCTCCTGGAATACATAGACCTTTTATGTATAGAGAGGGTGTGTTCCAGTTTATAGGCAGACATCGCCGTCACTCCATTGAAGGAATGGTTCAAGATTTCTTCCATGGAAGGTTCCCTCTACCTTGTTATCTCTGTAGTGGAAGACGGACTGAAGCTCCCAATGACTTAAATCCATAAAAGCAAACGAAGGAGGTCTCCTGAAGCCATAACTCAGACCTCACCTTTCCTTCTCTAGTGACCTCAGCCACTTGTCTGGGCCCTCTCCTTTGCTTGGTTTCTCCTGGCCCTTCTGCTTCTGCTTCAAAGCAGAGACCAAAAAGTCTCCATTTCCCACTCTGGTTCTGCATTATGGACTTCATTTTTGATTTATTTTTATGATTGAGTTATCATAGTACTGTACTTTTAATATAAAAACTACTAGTCTTAATAAAGAAAGTTCTAGAAGGCAGCTAATGGAGAAGATTCTGAATCTTTCAATTATCTGTATTTCCTAACCTGTCCTCACAGTTGCGGGTATCGTGGGATTTGCCCTTGGAAAGGCCTCCTACATAGGAGTGTGCCAGAGAAAATTCCACTCCTTTGAAGATCAGCTTCGTGGGGCTGGTTTTGGTCCACACCATAACAGGTTTGTAATCTATTTGATTGAAGGATTATAATGAAGGTAATTATAAGAAACTAAATGAAAGATCACTCACTATTTACAGCATTAAGCACATTTTAAAAATTCATTTGTTAAAAACATCTTTAGCCAGGCATGGTGGTGCATGCCGGTAATCCTAGCACTTGGGAGGCTGAGGCAGAAGGATTGCCATGAGTTTGAGGCCAGCCTGGGCTGCAAAATAAGTTCAAGGCCAGGCTGAACTACATAGTGGGACCCTGTCTCACAAAATTAAAAAAAAAATTTTTAAACTCTCATAAATTTTGAGTTGTTACTACTCAACTTCAATAATAATTATTATTTAACTTAGTTCCTATTTTATTTGCTCAACAAATATTTAATGGATACCTATTATGTTCAAGGCATTGTGCAAGTCTCTAAAGAATTCCCTAATGAGCAGACTTGGTTTCTACCATCACAGGGTCATACAAACTTTAAACAGTCTTCCTTCCTGCAGGTCTTCTCAGAGCCTTCTCTATGTTAATGGATGATTTCCCCTAGAGGACATGAGCATGAGGACTATGGAGTTAACAGCACAGTCTCTCCTGGGAGAGTACTTGCTTTGAAAATTATTTCTTCCACTTCCTAACTGTAACCATGGACAAGTTTCTTAAACTGTCATCTTCAGTTTTCATGTCTGTATAAAATGATGAACACAGTCATTCATGTAGGACTAGAAATGGTTATTCGTGACAGTAAGTGCTATTTCTACTCTAGTGTTGGGGACACATTTCTCTAAAGACTCCTCACATGTCCTAGAGGATTCTATTTGAGGAGCAGCATAACACAGGGAAAACAGCACTGAGCTGGAAGTTAGGGCTCTGAGCTCTTTTCCTAATCCTGTGGCTTTAAAAAGCTGTCCTCACTCATCCTGTAGTGGTAGATAGGGCCCTAAACGCTATCTCTTCCTAATGAGCCATGTGTGGTCCAGAAAGGTGCACACACTTTTGCTGTAGTCAGAAAGGGACTCTGATCCCAGCCCACTTGTTTTACAAACGCTTGGAGAGCCATTAATTCATATTTACAGACAACACCAGCTTCAGTCCATCGTTGCAAAGCTGTATTTTAGGGTCAGCTGGCTGAAGAGCACTTGACCACAGGATTCTGGTGTGTGCAGGGAAAGTAGAAAAAAGCAAGCTAGCATGGGCGAAAATTTTGGTAACTGCTTCCTCTTCCTCTTCAGTTTCGGAAGTTATGAACACAGGATTGAAATCTACATTTTCTAGATGATCTCCATTGCTCTGCAGTTTGTATGCAGAAGGAAGTGGTTGAGTAAATGGACTTTAAGCTCTGCATTCTGTGGCTCCACTTCACCTGCACACTTCCTGCCATAGCAGTCAGGCTCTGGGCCTGCATTAGTAGCTGGTAACCAACCCTAAGCCCTGTGTGAAGGGCCTTTACCAGCAATAACTCACAAAGTGACCTGATTTTCTAATGAAGGCAAAAGAGAGCAGGGCACCTAATCAAGTTGAGGTTGAGGAGGGAATGAAGGAAGGTGCAGCGAGGAGGACTTCTTAGAGAGGATGGTGCTTGACTTGAATCTTAGAAGACTGGTAGGAATCACAGCAAGGTTGAAGAAGGAGATTGCAGGCCAGGAGTGGCACATAGACAGGAGGAAACCTGATTTATGAAAGGGAATCATAAATACATCCTATAGCTGGAGCATAAAGAGCTGTTAAGAAGTGGCAGAAGATAAGCTGGAAGACTAGTGCCACATGAAGAATTTATACTTCTTCTCACAGCAATGGAGTCAACTAAGTAGTAAAAGGGTGAGAGATGATGTCTTAGTTACTTTCTCATTGCTGAGAAAATATTCAGCATACACAAGTTAAAGGAAGAGAGGTTTATTTTAGTTCACAGTTCTTAGAGGTTTCAGTCCATAGTTGGCTGGTTCCAAGGCAGGGCAGCATGGCAGAGGAAAAACAGCTCATGGCATGGCAGGCAGGAGGCAGCTAGCCTTCTTCTTTCCTTTTTTATTCTGTCGAGGCTACAAGCCTATTGGTTGGTACCACCCACACCCAGAGTGGGTCTTCCTTCTTCAATTAATCCATCATCCAAAGCCAGAACTCTGCTAAACCAATCTGTGGACTAATCCACAATTGCACACCCATGATCCAGCTGCTCCCCAAAGCCCCACCTATGAGCACATGAGGCTTTGGGGGAACATCTAGATGTAAGCCATAACAGATGGGTTCACTGTCCATCTCTCTGGGGATTTGCAGTAACAGCTCCTCCTCTTGCTGCCTTCAGAGTAACCCTTCCCACTTGGCCAGGCTGACCTTTCTGCCATGCAGAACTCACCCTGCCACTGTCCTGCATAAATGTAGAACTCCTGTTGCAAAATCTTCCTGCAGGCAGATGCTCAGCAAGTGTTTCTGGAGTTGAATTTGTAAGAATCTAAAATGTTAACCCTGGGGAGGGCCTCAAGGACATCTGTTCCATAAGTGTAAATACTACGTTAGAACAAAGCTCTGTGTTTACCTTGGTATTGTGTTAGATCCTCAGGAAACTTACACATATTAGGCAGACTATAAAACTGGGAATTTTGGATATGCCATTAAGATTTTTACTTAAAAAAGTTTGTATGGGGCATAGTATCATACACCTGTAATCCCAGCACTCAGGAAGGCTGAGGCAGAAGGATCATGAGTACAGCCTGGGCAACTTAATGACTTACCAAGAGCCTATCTCAAAATAAGAAAACAAGCTCAGTGCAAAGGCCCTGATTTCAATCTCCAGTACCACACACACACACACACACACACACACACAAATCATAGCTATATGATGTGTTTCTAAACCTAAACCTAATTGTGTAGGCCTATAGTTAAATCCTGGCTAAATGCACTATGTGTTTTATGATTTTTTTAATGCTAGTGGTAGAAATTACTCAAGTTCGAAAAGAGTCAGGACCCTAAATGTAATCCTGACCTCAAGTACAACCGTATATTTCAACATAAAGATCATTATTGGCTTTTTTTCCCTTTTAGATGAAATTTGGGGGATTTTAAGCCGTGAAATGATTATTCTTGAAAACATTAAGCCAATGAACTTCAGCAACTTCAGGATAGGAAATGTCTCAGTAACGCAGTGTTAAGACTAGAGTTTGCACAAGAACCAAGAGAGACTATGTAAAGGTGCAAATTTCCAATGATGAATGTCATTATATTGTATACCTAAAATGTACCAATTATTAGAATGAATAACCGATAATGTAAAATAGGAATAAAAGGTCCAAAGGGGTAG